GCCAGGCTGCGAGTAAGAGTAATCTCCACAGGGTTTCCCAAGGGCTGATCTCTCAGGAATGACCAGAACAATCCCCATGACTATTCAAGCACTGCTCTGATTGAACAGAACAGAAGAGTGTACAAAGCCTTGTAGAGAGCTGTAGGGCCACCACTGCCCAGCCAGGTACCATGGAAGCCCTTCTTGCTCCAAGGGATGGGAAAGGAGGCTCATGTTGCAGGCAGGATGTTTCTGCTGGAGTCAGAAGGCCTGGTGCTGGTTGGGCATACAGGAAGCTCTCCCAGGAAGCAGCATGAAACCCCTCCTTCCCCAACTGTTCCATATACTGCAGTTATTTTTAGCGTCTTCGTTCTCCCGCTCAGGGTGATTCACACTCCTCTCATTCATTCAGTCCCAGCCAGACATTATAGAACCACCAACAGGCCCTGCAGACCTTACACAATTCTCAGCAGAGAAGGCTTCTGCCTAGCTCCTCTGGCACCCAAAGCTGGCACAGAGGCCCTGCCTAAGAATCTACAGAGTCCAGATGGAGAGCAGTGACTGATGTAATTGGCTCAACACCATCCAGCAGGCCAGGGCTCACTGCCTCTCAGCTCGTATTGTTGGCACCCATGGTCAGACATTGTTAAATTCTGTGGTGTCAAACAGGGCAAAAAGGGAAAGAGAAAGCAAGAAGTGCCCCCTCAAGAGGTACCAGGCTGGAGAAAGCTGCTCTTACACCTTTCTGAGTGGTTCTCTGTAGTGGCTCCATTCTTTGCGTGGGGTCTCTATATACAGAGAACATCACCAAACACAATACAAAATGTTACTCATGTGGACTCAGCATATCTACATGAAGGCCAAGCCTCAGCTATAGTGGCTAATTTTTCCATAGTGACATAAAGCTACCCAGCTCCTAGGAAATCAATTGTACATGGGATGTGCAGCACCTGACACTACTCAGTGGGATGCTCCTTACAAGGTTTTTCATATCTAGAATGAAGGCTGGACAAAAAAGCAGCACAGACCCATTCCTGACATCTGTGCACTTGAAGCTCCTAGGCTCAGCTTTTAGCCTGCTCTGCTACTGTTCCCTGGTACCAAAGTGGGTGTAGTATTGACTTCTGTTGCACTTGCTGGAATAGTCACAGGATCATAGAGAAATAGGGATGGAAAGGGCCTCTGGAGGCCATCTAGTCCAAACCCTTGTCTGAAGCAGGATCATCCTTATCCAAACCATCTAATGTAAGTCCTTGTCTAACTTATTCCTAAGATACACAAGCAACCCTGCTCCACAACTACACAGCATATTGCCCAAAGACACCAAAAGCACCCTAACCTGCCACTGGCAAAGCAGTCAGTGTCCTGCTACTGCAAGTGTTGTTAAAATGCACTCGAGAGACTCAAGAAAGAGGGCCATGGCACCTGCTACAGAGGAAGAGAAAAACCCTCACAGTCTGTACCAATTTAACCTTGAGGTGAAATTCCTTCCTGATCCCAAATGCAACAATCGGTCTAGCCCTGAACAGAGGGACACTGAGCATAACTCTGCCCATCATGACCTTTTATTGGACAGCCAAAACTCCCCTTTCTGTATCCCCTTCATAAATTTATCCCAAATCCTTTAATCTTTTTTCATAACTAAGCCAGTCCTATACACTTAGACAGGAGCAAACTCTATTCAGGAAGCAAATGAAATGCTACCTAGAACAGGGGGCCTGGGACCAAGGGACCAGGAGCACAGGTCAGAAAAAATGGCCAATGGGAACCAAATGCCTGGAGCACGGGAAGGAGGGCTAGGAGAAGCCACAGGACCAGTGGATACAATGCCACAATCTCATCCTTATTCTGGCTACACAAAAGGCCCAGAAAGCTACTGGATCCTCACCAGCTGTTTTCCCTTGGTGTGAGCACAGCCACCTCCTTCTCCCACGGCAAGCCTACTATACAGGTATGTCATGGCAGCACCACAAATCACAAGAGCCAGTGGGCTACAATAATTGGCAAGGAGGCCAGGCCTAGAGCAAGGGTGTGCTCTGCACCTCCTCCCCTTGCTGTCTCAGCAGAGAAGGTATCCCTTCAGCATTAAATACGGCTCTGCCACCAGCTCCTTGTGTGCTGCTGAACAAATCCCCTGGATCCCTTTGCACCTCAATTCCCCATCTCCACAGCTGGGATTATTCCCACCAACCAGAGAGAGGTTTGTGAGATTTGTGAATTCAATCATGTTTTCAAAGTGCATTGAGATCTTAAAGTGGAAGGTGCTAGGGCTAAGGACAAACTGTTTGCCTTGTAATGGTTCCTTACTCCTATTTTGCCTATTACCACTCAGAAATGAGGTAGTGCACGGCGTTTCACCAGAGACAATGCACCCTGACCTGTCCATGCATTTTATCCTGTGCCGGCATGTGTATATACAGATGGGCTTAGAGAGAGCAAGCTCACTTTGCATTCAAGTGTTACGTGAAAAGCTGAGGCCAGGCTGGGATGGGATGTGGGTGCCAATTCCCCAGTGCCAACCCTGTGAGGCACTCCTTTCTGTGGCTGGGTTTATTGAAACAGCTCTTTTGTGAGCTCTGATCGTTCCAGGGCATGATGCCCATCCCCATTTCTCTAATGAAAATGGTGTCTGGAGTTACTGGAAACAATAACTGTAGATTACTCACAGAATGAATCTAGGAACCCAAACCAGACCAGGCAGAGATTTTAGCAGAAGAGAAACAAGGAGATCAGACACCCTTAGGTTCATTGTTCACTTGGCAACAAAACTCAGTGAATCCTTACGTTTTGTTCTAAAAAAAAAAAATCAGTGAACCAATTGGTCTCAAGTAGTCCTGGTAGGTGAGCTTTTACACATGCCCTCTTTAAATCACTCCGAGCAGCACAGCCCTCAGTGCCAAAGCAAACTGCCTGTCATCACGGCTCAGAAGGGAGATTTATACAGCTCATTAGTACTTCAGTCTGGAAGTTCTCGGCTGAGATTCTGTTGGCTATTAGCATCTCTCAGGTCATTCCCTCTACTACCCACCCCCAAAGATGGCACCTCCCTCCCCGGTCCTGGCAAAACCCAGAGGATGCCCACCTCAGCCTCACTTTTCCCTTCACATGGAGAGTTATCTCTGATGGAAAAAAATGTCCAGATATGCATTAATTACCAGACCATTTTATACCTTATCACTACAATACTTGCTTACATGCCCCTTGAGCAATGCTGCACACATCTTCTCAGGCCATGCACAGCTAGGAACTAAAATCTGCCCTCTGGATACTGGTTGCACATGCAGATTGCCTGGGCCTGTTCAAGCTTCCTGAGCTGAGCTCTACAGTGGTAGCAGGAGGCATTCAGGATCATGGGAAGATCACCTGCTCAGCCACACACATGATGTTCAAATGCAGTAGAATGGAAGTTACTCACTGAGGCCTCAAATTAGCCACAGAATAACAATCATGTTATAATGGGGAACTTCAAGCTTCTCCCTGTTGCGACTCCACTTTGGGTGCACTCTATGTTTTCCTGGCAATCACACACTATGATGTCACAAATACTGTAGTGCATGCCTTACTGTTTTAGAAGTTAGCTAAATTGCCATGAGATAAGTAGGTAAGAAGGTAGGGTAGCCAGATTTTTGTCACCTGATGGAGGAGGAGGAAATTATCTGCCCCAGGTAATTTATATTTCTTATCGATTCCATTTCTAATCAAAATTACCTCCCAAAGCTATTCCAGGCCATTTTGCATCTGAAGAAGGAATCTAGAAGCTCCATCTCCTGCACAGAAAAGTCTGTACTGACCCAATTTGGGACACTGCAAAGTAAATGTCATATTTCCTTTGCCCAGAGAAGTGGCTGAGACATTCTGTTCCTTAGCACCACTATTCATCAGCAATCACAGCAAGAATAAGAAACCTTGTGCTTCACTTCAGCAAGGTACAACCAAAGCTGCCCAGGCTGTGTCTAGGACTAACAGGATCCATGAAAAAGTGTTCACGTAGACAAGATACAGGGGCTTTTACCACCAAGGGATCTAGAGTAAGTCTGACTCAGCACCATTTATCGAATGCTTCCACTCTGGCCAGCCTGGGGGAGCTTTTTCTGTCCTACAGCAGTGCTAGGATCAGTCCCGGAGTCATCCCCACCAAGAAATATACTCAACAGCGGAAGAGATTACAAATCCCTGCTCACCCTGAAACATGGCAGTGATCTCAGTTCCTGAGGGATGTGGCGTCCCCGTTATAATATGCCTCTACCACTAACAGACCTCCTTGCTGACATCCTCAGCAGAGAGGTCCCAGGAAACAGGGTCTCTCATCAGAGCAAAGATAAAACATGTAAACAGTCCATGTACGGGGCAAGCTTACCACTCCCTATGTCCTGCCAATTCTACATGTGGTTATCGGTCTGCAGGACTCACAAGCCAGCAGCCAAACCATATTTATTTAATAAGGGAGACACTGTTGCTACCTCATGCAAAAAAAGCAGTGCTCATTAAAGACCTTTCTGGGCCCTAAGGCCAGATCACGAGGGCCCGCCTGAATGTCTATGGCTGTCCTGTGGCAGGGGAGAAGGCAGAGTCTCAACAATGCTGCTATACAAGGCTCCCATGTACTTGGCCTTTCAAATCAGAATCCAGAGCTCCTAGCCTGAACTTGTGTGCATTGTAAGGATGTACTTCTCTCTCCTAACTAACCCAGGCATTATCTGAAGGAAAGCAGTTAAAAATCAGTGCTGCCTCAGCTGTTCAAATACAGACACCCGGGCGAGGAGGAGCGGGGGAACGTAGCCTGTTTGCCAAAGTCTGGTTCAACTTGGACTCAGTGACTGCAAATGCAATCAACTCTTCCCGAGACAGCACAAGGCTGCAGACACAGCAGTTCCTGGGTGCACATTCACACCTCACCTGGCTGAATTGGTCTTTCAGAGCCTGTCAGAAGTGTGAGAAAAGCCCCTGCAGCAGAGATGGCTCCTAGTGCTACGAGCGAGGGGGCACTGTCAGCCTGGCTGGGCAGCCCAAAGGCTCCTTACCTTGCTCTCAGCAGAAGTTGTTGCTGGATGCTGCTGCTTGGTGATGTTCTCAGCCAGACACCAGCAGATTCTCTTCTTCTGCTCCTGGGAGTAAGCCTCCAAACTTAATAAGCACTCCGACTTCTGACGTAAAGAAAACACAGGCAGAGAGCGAGGTCATTAGCAGCATGTCACAGGGCCCTGGCTTTGTTTGCAAAGCACTTGTCTCCCAAACCCCATCTTTGATGAATGTAAGAACAAGCGGAGTCCGCTCTGAAAAAGTCCTCATCATCTCAGGCCCTGAAGAGCCAGGAGTGAGTAAAACAGAGGAAAATCCGTTCCGAAGTGGCAGAATGTCAAGACATAGCTTGAAAAGCTTTCTGTAATGTGGAGCGATGGATTTTTTTACTCCCAATAAGTGAAGCAGTGTGGTAAGATCTGGACAGAATGTCAGCAATATTGTATCATGTGACACCACAGTGGAAATGCGTCTATTGAACTAATTCAGAGGATGGAAATTGCTCTTTGCTGTGTGCAAACATAATGACACGACATAGCCTGAACTACTGAAAGCAGCCAAGCTCAGGCTGGGTTGGGCTACAGCTAAGGCTAACCTGCAAAAAAGCTACAATAATAGGAGGCCAAGGATAGAAAATTAAAGTCTCTCCCCTTTTGCTTCTTTGCCCAGAGGAAGATGTAGAAGGGGGTCACTGGAACCCTGTATTGTACCTGTATTAAGACAAAGTTCATATGAGAGAGGCACAGCCACTACAGAAGGTGCAGATAGAAGTGCAGCTCCCTGGTCTAACTCACAGAGCTTTACAGAAAGCACCATGGGTTAGACCAACCCTCCCAACCCAACCGACCTTAGCTGTTGGATCAGGAGGATGGGGAATCAAGCTCCAATTTGGAGCCAATCCAGTGAGAGAGGCTATGGATCTGCAGCCTCTTCCCCTAGCTCCACCCCGCCTCTCCCAGCTGTGGTGCCATCTCAGGATGGGAGAGGGAAAAGACAGGGGAGGGAGGTCCATTCTGGGGTTTGCCCAGACACATTGGGTTGGGGAGGTGGATGGATTGGAGCCACTCGCCTCGGTTAATTTGTCACATGATTGGAGCACTCTGCAGTTGTGCTCTTCTGTTTGGGCACGGCTGTAGAGCACTTTCAAGGGGCCAATCACATGACAAATGTTATTTTGGTCTGCACCTAGAGAGACTGATCCCTCTGAAACAATGGAATTCACCCCAAACATGGGGGGTTTCACTGGCCTCTGCCCACAGCAGCCCTCAGGCTTGGCTGAGTCCATGCTGTGTCCCAGGCCCAGGCTTTGGCATGTTTCAGCTGCTATAATCCCCATATGTCATATAATGTGCACTTGAGAATCAAACTTCTGTGCTTTTCTGTGAGATGTTCTTGGGGCCCGCTCCCACACAACCAGATTAATAAACCATCCTTGGCAAACATCTGCCAATCTCTGAACTGACAACCTCTCAATCCACAAACTAAATGCGAGGCAGTAAGTGGGGCCTGGCTGGGACTGGGAAGGTTTCCCTTAAAATGATAAGTGCTGTGGTTGGATGATTTCATTCTGTGGTTAATTCTGCAAAACAGAATCTTCAAACTGACCTGCAAGGAAATAAAACTGGTCTTGTGCCCTTATAGCTTATTTATGAGGCATGAAAAAAAGATCTGGATGCATATTTTTGCATTTTGGGTTTTTTCTGCTAGAAAAGCAAGTATTAGTTACCCTGGGTTTTTTTTCCTGGAAAGCTGTATACATGACAGTGGACCTTGCAGGTTGATTAGGTTTGGTCTTTCTATTTCTAAGATGAAAAGCAAGCAGGAGAATTGAAAACAAAAGCTCTCTCAAGCCTTCTTCTATGTCACCAAAATAAAATAATGGTGCAAACACAATTAGGCCCATTTGCAAGCAACCTTTAGAAAATGTCATTTGTAGACTGAGCTACCACAGCGGCTTTTAAGAAAAGCAAGAATTCAAACTCCCACTGTGAAGACTGGATGGTTTTCTGCCAGCAAGGCAACCAGGGCTTTAGTTAAGGTTCGCTGACATTGATTCCATTAGAAGTCTTTTTGGGCCGGATTGTCACCAAGGCCTGAGGGGCTGAGGTGTGTAGGTCTGAGAAGCTGTCATGGGCTACGGGGTGCCAAATGTCCTGAGGCACTTTGGACATTCTTTCCCATTCTGTGTAGTTTCAACATGTGTTTTTATGGCTAAATTTCTCATGAGCTCATGAATTGTTCATGAGCTGGAAGCTGGAGAAGGGAATTCAGTACATCTTATAAACTGAACCAGCCCCTTATTTGCTGTGGGACATTCAGTATATCTCTGCCCACTTCCTTCTTATCTTGATGAGTCTCCCATCTTCTGACCCCTACCAGGATCACTCTGACCATCATTTGGCGAGATGGCATTCACTACGATACCCCAATCCTAACCCAGCACTCCAAAACTCTGCCATCCCGCAGTACTCGGGTCCCAAACCAGGTCACCACCAAACTGCTAATCTGGACCAATTTGATCTTCACTTGTACTGTACCCAGAATGAAACACAACCTTTGAAACTTTCTGAAATAAGACATGAATAAACTTTCTGAAATAATGTGGCAGCATTCACTGATGCCCTGAAAACAAGGAGTAAAGTGACCCTCTGCCCCTGCACTTGGATCTGCTGCAGCAGAAGTGAATGACTTAGAGGAAATCAATACAGCTTAATAGGTGTAAGTGTAGCTGAGAGGAGTCACATGGCCACATAGCTATTGTAGCTAATGCATATTCCACCCTCCACAGAGAGCTACAGCAATTCCCCTGGAGTGAGGCGTAAAGAGATTCCAAGTGCATTTCATATCCACTTTATTGAGAATGATTCAGAACTCACCTAGTCCCACTCTACAGCCCCCTCGCCAATTAGATTATAGCTACCATCCATTTGATTAGATCTGGCATACAGTTTTACCCATCCCACACTGGACATTCAGAGACAAGTACCCCCATGTTGGCTGCAAACAAGCCTGAGAGTCCACATGGAAACAGCAGCCTGAGAGATGTTACCATCACCAACTTACTGATAGGAAACTGCCCCCCACCCCAAGCCTGAGAGGGGAAGGAAAGGAGAATCTCTGCTGTGTCTTCAGGACTCGAGTATCATTTAATCTGAGAACACAAACACCCAATCTTTTTGACCAAATGAATGTGATATACAGCCCCCAGGTGCTGCTCTGGTGGCCAGAGCCAGCTCTAGGGCAGTGCTGAAAACAGCCTGTCCAGATCCAACCTGCAGAGGAGCCGAGTACCTCCATCTCCCTCTGGAACTCAGGCCCCAGCTTATAAGAGCTTTGGGATCTATCTAGAGGGAGGGTAATAATGTGAAGTGTTAAACATTACCCAACACAGGGCTCTAATGCTTGTCCCCTCAGTCTGGTCCTGTATCAGTGGATTGAGGCCCACAGGTTCTACCAGACACGGTTCACCTCCCCCAGAATCCCCACGATGAATAGGAGCGTGGGTTTAGACAAGTGTTTATCTACATGCATAAAATGTAATTTCTCCACTCTTCAACCACCTCCCCATAAGAGACCCTCTGTTCTCAGAAGGGCAGTAACAGGGGAGGATGTTTTCCAAGGTTTTCAGTGCTCGCAAAGAACATGAAACTATGAAACTCAGATGCTTGGGACTCCCGATTTAGTCGGAAACCAGTAGCCAGCAGATCCTGCCTCCCTCCACACTGAACCAGTGCCTGGGTAAGCATGCTGAATACCAACTACCTTGGCCAGGCCTCGCTCTGGGAACCAGCCTCCCTGCTATTGTTTTTATTTAGGGAGGCTACTGCTTCCCCTGCCAGCATGTGCAGAGAGAAAACATGGTTTAATCTCACAGAACTGGGAAAGGAGGATGCAGATGGTGTGAAAGGGACATTTGCAACCAGATAAAGTGCCCAATAGGAGAGCTGCCAGTCGCCTTTGCGCTGTGCTATTTACACAGTGCTTTCGAAAAACATGTTATTGCAAGTGCTCTGTCTGGCTGCCGTGGGATCCTGCCTCATGTGAGACTGCAGCCCTCCAGGCAGAACTGGCCAGCAGACTGGGGCTGGTTGTTACCAGAGCAGTAGAGAAACATAAGGGGATGCTTGGAGAGAGGAAGGGCCCAACTGAGCTAAGCACAGGGCTCCAACCATCCCTGTTAGCACCAGGGGACCACTGAGTGGAAAGGAGCTCTGTTTGGACAGGCAAACAATAGCTCAGACCTTTAAATCATCCCTCAAAGTTTGGATCTCCCTCTACCCGTGCAGGGAGATGCATGAACCCCTGGTATTAGCCATCAGAGCCTCCTTCCGTGCCAGGACCACTAACCAGAAGAGAAGGCTGAGGAAGAAAGTGGGACTGCACAAATCCCAGGTTATACTGAGAGCCATGACCACCCATGCTAACAGCCATGGGCACAAACACAGTCCTATCGGATTCCATGACCCTGGAGATCTGCGCTGAGCTGGGCCAGTGGGTCATGAGGACCCCTGGAGGAAAGTCCTGCTACAGGCACAGGTAAGATGTTCAGGTATGTGTAGTATTCATATGTCTAAAGCAGTGGTTAGTAACATTTTCCATCATGGGCTGGAATAACCCATCTCAAGTTTGAGACAGACAAATGCTAAGATCCAGCTGCCACTGCTGCCACTTCTCTCCACCGCTCTGCCATGGAGCAGCACATACAAAACCCATGGCTGTCCAGATACCACCCACAATGACTCTACGGGTCAGATCTGGATGGAAAGTGATTTCACTGTGAACAGTGGTCACGTCCAGGTCAGCACTGAGCTAACCAAAATGTCACATTTCTTGATGGCTCTATGGGGGCAGAAGACTTGTGTATCAGAATTGCCACCACAGCTAGGTCTCACTTGGCACTCCTACAGGAATCTCACCAGGGAGACCCAGGACAGAGACAGGAAGGACGGAGAGGTTCACCTTGGAGGTGGGGATGACTAGATGGGCCAAAAATACAGCTGGGGAAGCCTAGCTAAAAGAGGAGTTAGAAGCCAATGTGAGGGGCAGGCTTTGTTAGGATAAAGTTAAAACTGCCTGGTGGTCTCTCAAGCTTTTGAAAACAAGCAGATGAATAGTTAACATAGAT